GGTTTGTCTGGGATCCACTGTGTTTGAGTTGAACTTGAGTAAAACTTGAAATTTAACTACCTTTGAAAAACAGGTATGGGTCCTGAAACCATTGTCTGGCAAACAACAGGCTGCTGTAAGCAATTCAGTGGAAATGAAAATGATGGCAATAAAACATCGGTACATTTGTAACTGACACAAACCTACTCAGTCATCTTCTTAGGAAAAGCAGATTAATATGTTTATTGAAAGTAGATAAAAATAGAGTGTGGGTGATTGGTTTCAGAGGAACAGATGTTTGACCAGAGGACCTTTAGACTCAAGGAATCATAAATGTCCAATGGAAACCTACGTGACATTTCGACTCGTGCCAGGAGCTGCAATCACGAACTAAGCCGAAGTTGCTTCTTAGAAAAGATACATAAGGTCTAGCGCTCCAGGTACAACATTGTACCTGCAGTCGACAATACTGGATGGTACACTTAAAAGTGTGAGAGGGTATTTTTCATGGTGAGTGTTCTTGCCACAATAAAATAAATAAAATAAAGTAATAATTGTCTGTGTTTTTACAAAAGTGAGAAATCTAACACATACTGAGTATTTTCTCTTTGCCCGAACTCTTTCCTGGCTCTGTTATGTGCCCTGCACAGTGCTCTAAGCAGTTATTACTATCAGAAGCCCTACTGACACAGGAGGAACGGAGCCTTGGGGACACACCCCAGGTAGTCTGACTTCAGAACCTAAACTCTTACCTGCCAGGTTACAATAGTTTCCTGTCGTGCTGAAAGCGATGTGGAAGCAGAGATGTCAGACTTTCAGCAGGTGAAAACACTTGTTAACAGAATAGAATAAGTTTCTGTTTTCTAGTTGAGTTGCTTTGTAAATGGAATGAAAAAAAATGTACTTAATTTGGTCAGTGGCATTTGCTTTCTTATTTTATTACAGGTACATAAAACTATAAGGATTCTATCCCTTTCATCATTTTGAACTCTACCGTGGGCCTTCTGTCTACCGGCCAGCTAGACTGGTAGGTGGTTGGAGCAGTGAAGTCACCCCTCTATTAGAGCGACATTTCACTTTTTGATATCTTGAGAATTTCCTTGTTGTTGTTACTGCTCTGCATTTAGCTGTCAGGCGAGCACATTCGTCCTGTCTGCTCTCACTAAGGAATCTGTGCGCCATACTCTGAGGAGATGACTTGTGCAAACATTTCTCTGAAGACAATTTGAATACACATGTGGCTCATGCTACCCTAGCCCAGTGCTTCTCAGACTTCAAGGTGCATTCAAATTACCTAGCAGTCCGACTAAAATGCAGGACCTGAGATACTGTCTTTTTAACCTGCTCTCAGGGGAAGCTGAGTGTGCTTCTGTATGGACCACAGTTTCAGTTCTAAGGTCCTCAAAACTTTTCAGTTTTTCTTGGGTCTGGAGAGAACATCTAGTTTGATTCCAAAACCAGGAAAAAAGCCCTCCCTATAATTTTCTCATTTTTCCTAAGTTTTTATATATCTGATCATAATAATCAGTTTGACACAAATTAAGTTATATATTTTTATGTTTGCAAACAAAAGTATTTCTAAAAGCTATTTAAAAAATAAAATGTTTCCATTGGGGCCCTAAGTCTATTGGTTAAACATATTTTTCTTTTTGCCTTCCAAACTTTTTAAATGTATACCTCTGATGTACATGAGATTGTGGAGTCATACCTGAAACTTCTAGAATCATCTGGTTACCAGAGAGCTGTGCAACCTCCAGCCCCATCTTGGGGCAGGCAGGTGTAAGGTTCTTTGGTTGGTATAAACTAATCCAGAGCTCTTGGGCATTGAAAGGAGAAAATAAAATTTTAGAATTTCTCTGGAATTAGCTCCTTGACCCAGCAGTCCTATTTCAACAAGAGTCAATCGTGGAATTTTTAAAGATTTTTCAGGTACCTTTGCCC